GTTCGGGGTGGCGGACATTAATAGGCTAAATAGTGGTAAAACTATTTTATTCAAAGCCAATATAAGTAAGTACATTAAAATACACCATATATATATATATATATAATATATATATATAATATATATATATATATATATATATATATATATATATTATATATTATATATTATATTATAATATATAATATATATTAAAATTACTTATACAACTTAAGTACATTAAAAATACTTATATAAATAAAAAAAACATTATATAACTTTATAAATAAAAAAAAACATTAAAATTACTGTTCATATTTTAATGTACTTACTGTTTATAATGGTAATAAGCTTATTCACATTGTTTATAATTTTTTGTCTAAATATTATGTAACTTCCACAATTCTCTATATTTTTGTATCTTGTCCGTTTTTAGCCCTGAAGAAGACCTGCAAAGTCGAGTCGAAACGTTGGCTTTTAATAAAATAGTTTTGCCACTATTTAGCCTATTTATGACCGCCACCCCGGACCACCTCCTTCCTTTATAAAAGATTTTGTTTATTTTAATAATATTCTTCGAGTTATTGAAAAATAATCCTTGATTTACATCAAGTTAAGTTTCAGTTCTCAACAGCCGAAATATACGAGTTAATTAAAAGATTCATAAAATCATCAAAATATTACCAAAAAGCCTTTATTATAACTATATTTAAATATAGCATTTAAAAATATTGATAATTTTATAATCAAAAAGACCCTTAGTCTATCTAGTTTGAGTAAACATCTCTGATTTACAAACGAGCCAAACGGGCACTCTTCCAGATCTCCAAAGTTTTCGGAGGGCATGGTAATTTAAGGTGTAAAATGACTTTCGACTTTTTCTACATACAGCAATGATTTGATTTTTTTTATAAATAAATGTCAAATCCTATAAAAAAAAAAATTCATTCATGAAACTCATATCAAAATAAGGTATCAAAATAAAAATACTTCTATTAAATTTGACACAGATAAATATAATGACATTAAAAGACCTGTAAAGAAACTACCCAGCATAGAAGTATTTCTGCGGTAGCACTCTTATAAAATTTCTACATTAGCAAATCAAGAGGTCAACTTCTCTTCAGGTGTCTCGGAGTGCTATCAGGAATCGAAGAGGAAGCAAGGTTAGAAACGATAGGATTCGGATAGTTCTGAAGTTTATTAAAGAAGGACATGTATCTTAATTGAGCCAAATCGGAAACACATGGAACATCAAGGTTGTTATGGATGATTTTATCATTGAGGATTTCATGATGGATTCTGGATTGTAAGGATTGCATACGATATGAATGCCATGGTTTAGTGGACCCTCAAAACTCAACTCCAGTCCGAAGACCTAGTCGTCTTGTAATTTTTTAACTGAAGTCAAATATTTTGTAAGTAATCGGAAGTTTAGAGTGTTTAAGTAAGTGTTAAAGGAACAGGGACGTTGAGCTGTTTTCCGTTTCAATCTTGTTTGAGGATTCCAAGTTTGACGTTTGTCTAATTGGAGTTCTAGATATCAGATTTGTTCAACATGGATAAGTGGAGTATTATTAAAGGACACCATAGGAGAAGAAGTCATTGGTTTGCGATGAAGGGTAAAGTTTATTCGTAGGATTTATTGCGATTTATTTTAAACTTCAAGTAATACTACTATTTACAACGAAAAAGTCTAAAATCCGCGAACTTAAGAAGAATAATTACCAATGTGGATTTTTACTAACTATTGCAGTATGCTTGAAAATATTAGGCGTAAAAACAAAATATTTTAGAAATAAATTTAAGTAGTGTATGGTAGCTGCAACAGCTGTACTAAACTGCACAGTGTGTGTCGGTAAATACTAATTGTGTGTGTCGTTTAAAATTATAGTATTTAGTTACACGTGTGGGTTTGTAACTGATAATAAATAAGTATGAATTGTAAAATATTATAAAGTTTGGGGGAGAGGTTTGTGGAGACTGATTTAGAGTTGGGATGCGGTTAAATGTTATTATACCCACTGCGAACCCTCGATTATCAACATGTTAACCTTATTATTTGAATAAAACAGAGTGGTATGGCGCAAGCTGTGCCATCATGATGTCTGGAGAAATATATTTTGAAGAGATTTTTGTATTTTTGGAGGAAATCCTGTTTTGTGGGGTTTCAATTTGGGTGAACTCTCAAGCATGGAAACTAGGAATAAACGTGAAGCAAACAAAAAAAACTTCAGTAATAGGATAGACAATAAAATATTTTGTGAGGAGGCGTCCTCTATAATTATTAATCAGTATTAATCAATATACCGCTATAATTAAAAATCAATTATAAAATTATCAGCATTTTTAAACGTCGAGGACGAAAAAAAATTGGAGACAGAAAGATTTTTTGAAATATTATAATGAATTTTTAAGCTTTTAGTCAACTCCTATAATCCGGCTCTTAGCGGACTAAAGCTGTCAAGAATTATTTCTCAATATTTATAAGATGTCATTATAATAAAATCAATCGTTGATAAATTTCTTATCATTAACCGAACTTTTATTATAAATGAAAATACATACATACTGTGTACTTAAATTTAAATTGGAAGAGAAGAGCAATAGAATTTCTAAGAAAGGGGTAGAGAGGTAGAGGGGTCATGCGCCATCGATCAAACAGGGCTCTTCTGACTCACTGTAAATATGAATAATAAATAATAATAGATAAATTTTCAAGAAGAGTACTCGATAGGAAAAAAAAATAAAAGAACCTAGAAAAATGTTGGTTCTTGCCAAAATAAATATAACAAAATAGCTGATGCAATCCTCGAATCTCGTTTTAGACGTTTGTTCCTTCGTAATTTTTAACAATATTTTTTCTTTCTTAAAATTGGATAAAGTAGTATAAACATGTGGTTTCTGTCGGGTGGTTAATAGTCAAGAAATGAGTCATAAAACAATTGTTATTACGTATGCCGAAGTTCCGGCCGAAGATTGTGGAACATCATCAGAGAACCAAATTCTGTGAGAAGTAACAAGAACTGCTCTTAATTAAGCCAGTTGATGAGAGAAATTATCGTGTATATCTCACGAAATTTTCTTAGGTCGAAACATTGAAATAGGTGATAAAAAAAACTGTTATGATTGATTTACTTTTTACCTTCAAAGATAAATATTAATTCAATGTTTATACAAAACGAGACTAAATTTCTGTTTTGAGGCAATCAAAACAAAAGTTCTACATAGCTACTCCACACTAGTACAATGCGCCCCCTTTCCCAAACATTTTTATTGTTCTCCACTTTTTATAAACAGTGGAAGTGAAAATTGTACATCATATATAATTACACTCACTGTGTAATGTCTGGAATTTCCTTCATGTTGAAACCCTAAAAAAATATGGTTCCCACCAACAATTCAAAACCCTGTAAAAACGTGCATTCCCGAAATTTTCGATGGCGCATTTTGCGGTATACAACCCCCTTCTGGATACCCCTGATTCTATATACACTTAAAACTGAATATTATAGAATCGTGGTTCAGTAGCTTTTGTAACAGAACTCCTGAATAGTAAAAAAAAAATCAATAAGTATATATTAAAATTATATAAGCATGAAATAATAAATTAACAATTCTAACCTTTGCAAATACGTAGACAAAAAACTTATTATGAAAGAAATTACTTACAAAGATCGTTATTTTAAAAGTAATTACATATGTCTTGATCAATCCTTTAGTATGAATTATAATGAAGATATTTGCAGTTATCTATCATTTTCTTATCATAATGTGCTTGCTTTATCTTAAAGAGCATATTGGGCAAACAAGCAAATGGGCGTGTTAGTTATTTCAGTAAAAATAAATTAAAAAATATTGAAAAGATATCTTTAAAAACAATTAATTAATCGCCTATATCAATAAATCAATTAAATAAAAAAATTTCGTACAACCAGGATTTAAAAATGATTAAACTACGATCGAAGTTCAAAGGCATAGTGCTAATTTTTCTATTTGATTAGAAATAACAATAACAAATTTGAAATGTATAATAAAATATTCTTGGCGAATGAATTGAGTGCAGTGCAGTACAAATGGTACCACGCGGAGCACAGACAGAAGTCCATATTAAATAGGCATATTTACATTTCAGAGAGATCTTATATTATCTAAATGTAATTATTTATATGTACAACATTCTTATCACATTCTGAAACGCTGATAGGACACGAATCTGCTGTTTACAAGGGAAGTGTTTTCAAACGAAATTCTTTATATTTCAAGATGATAGTTACTGATGTGTATACAAACATTACATATTAAATATCTATATTAAAGATAAAAGAATAGTTACGGAGAACTGGATGGTTTATGTTTTATACTGAGGTTAATGTGTTGATTAGCATATTTTCAGTAATTATAAAAAATAACAATCCACTGAAAGGTTTGTTACAATAGAGCAAGAATAGGTTTTGAGAAAATATCAAATTTCTATTAAAGTTATGAATCAAAACAACAATATTCAATAACAACAGTAAGAATATTCACGTATTTATTCCAAGGGCAACTATATTTGTCACCATTGCTTATTTAAACTATAATTAAAAAGCTGATGAATAAAAGTTACTTTCATTTGTCTTGTTGAAACTGGATTTAAAAATAATAATAAATACAAAGATTCAAATAACTTTAAATTGAAAGTGGATTATCTTTATTACTATGGATGTTTAAAACAAATACTGTTTTGATCGTCAGAAGAAAAAATTACTAGTGGGAACTCAATAATTTTGAATAAAGAAACGATATTTTGATATATAATATAGCTATGAGACATGTAATTTTCTTATCTCCAAGTGAAAATAGCGTTTCCATATTGAATGACGATTAACATCTAAAACAATTATTAATTTCTAAATACATTCCAATTCGTGATTATTTTATGTATAAAAAAATTAATAATTTTAGCTTTATAATGACGAGGAATAAGCGGCTGTTATTTAAGAATGTCAACAATATAATAAACAAGTTCCTACTCACAGCTATGCGAAAAGACTCCCAGCGATGCCGGGTAGGGACTGGCCGCCTCCGAAGGGAGTAATGTTTATATCGGAGGCAGGTGGAGGTGGGGGAGGCGGCTGCGCTATCGATACTATCCCAGATATCCTGTGGTATCTAGTATCTCGGTCGAGATATGTGGTGGCGATAAGCCTGCGGCTGCGGCTCTTATGAGCACAAGAAAAGGACGGTGTAGCCTTCAAGGTCATTCATTACACGAGGAAGGAGTCTTGGTCAGATCCTTGTTCAGTAAGCCCTGACTGAGTTCAGCACCGAAATATATCAAAAGATAAGACCATTAGGTAAAGGAACCAGTAATAAACAGTTTTCAACTCATTAACAGATAATAATGTTTGTATGCCCCAAAAGAGAGTGGAAATATGAGTATATTTGCAGCTTGAACACTGATGACAAAGAAAGAGATGCCTGAACCTCCAGTCATGTCCCACTAGTCGAGTGGATTGATTAAGCTGATTTTATATTGGATCAAGGTTAGATCTCTGTTTTAGAGAGAATTCCTTACTACTTTTATTTATGAGTTAAGTTTGAAGTATCGATTCATTCAACTGTAGTTTTCCATTTATAAGTTTATAAAGTTTATAAAACTGCAGAATTTATTTAGGATTTTATTTTATTCCTCTGTTTTTCCTATGCTTTTTATGAATAATTAACTACTTGACTGTATAGCAAAACAAAATTCTATAAAACACTAAAGTTGCTGACAATCAATCCCGTTTGCTAAGACCCACCTTCAAAACTAAAGCTGTTCTTCACGTTAATGTTTACAATTTCTTTGTCTATTAACAGTAAATTTAAAAAAAAGATAAACCTGTATCACTGCAACCCATAAATGGTCCTAGCTACAGTGCATTTTAAGAAAGTACTGTTTCGAGACTAATAGTTGTCCAGAGAGGTTATTAGGCCGGGATCATGCTCAACTATCAGGTTTTCCCGCTTAGTTAATTATTTAATTAATAATACACTCTTTAGAAAGTCTACTGACTCCAGAGCCGATTCTATACATTTACCTTTGTAAAATACGATGCTAAATGCTATTTACATTTACCTAGTGTCCTTGGACCTACTATGTCTGATCTACCGGAACACAATGACACAATACTGGCTACTTTTGCAGACGATACCGCAATCCTAAGCTCAGATAAAAACCCTATTCGAGCATCCACCATCCTTCAAAATCATCTGAACGATATTCCAGATTGGACAGCAAGATGGAAAATTAAGATGAATGAAAAAAAAAAAAAGTGTGCATATAGTATTCACTCTTAACCATAAACCTTTCCCTGAAATATATTTCAATAACAGATCATTAAAATCAGATGTAATTAGGTATTTAGGTTTTTACCTGGACAAAAAACTTACTTACTTGGAGGACTCACATCAGACAAAAACGAATATAATTAAATAGACGATAAGGTCTTTTTTACTACTAGTACAGATTACTTGACAGACGTTCAAAATTATCTTTAACTAACAAACTAATCCTTTATAAAGTTTTACTTAAACCTATTTGGACTTACGGCATAGAACTGTGGAGCTCTGCTAAAACTTCCAACATTAAAAAAGTTCAGTCCTTTCAGTCCTAAGTGTTGCGAAGGATACTTGACGCACCGTTTTATGTCGCGAATGATAAAGACTTACCTACATAAAGACTTAACTACATAATGACCTAAAACTTACTATATAAAGACTTAAACGTACCTACAATTTTAGATACTGCAAAATAGAACTACAATAACTTTCACCAAAGACTGACGTACAACATGAATCCCATGACAGAAATCCTCCATCGTACAAGAAACCCGTACAGCCCACTACGACGATTACGTAGGCGTTGGCTAAGAGACCTGCTGTTCTGATTTGTATCTCGGACGTGATGGGAAGCTGTGAAGCTGCCAAAAAACTTGCTCATTCCAAAGAAATTTGCAGATTGCAAATTTAAGCTAAAATTCTAAAAAAATTTTTGGTTAATAATAAATAAATACCTTTCTATATTACAATTTTATTTATAAAGATGGATAATATGTTTTGTTGGGGGTGCCATTGACCGTTCAAGTAATAGGTAAGTACACGGGCAGATCTACGGGAGAGGTTTTCGGGCTGAAGCTCCCCCTTCCCCAAAATGGTAAAATATAACCATGTTTTATGGAAAAATATATTAAAAAATTATCTCTTTAAGTATTATTGTTCGTGTAATTACATTTAAAAGGACTTAAGGAATCACTTAAACACCATTTCATATAGATAGTTAGTTTCTTTCTTTTTTCCAAAGTAATTATCATCAATTTTTATGAAAAAAAAAAAAAAAAATTCGGGCTGAAGCCGCCCCCAAAATTAAATCCTGGTTCCGCTAGTGGGTAAGTATAAGAAATTGGTTGATGGTGAGATCATAAATTCACTAACAAGCGTATAAACTTGCATGTACGGTTTACGTTGTAGGCTTATATAAGATCAACAGATACAGAAATTATACGTATACGTATATAAGTCAAATTGTCAACCTTCATCAATGAATTATTCATATATTATTAACTTCAAATATTTATTGATTGAATATTTATTGAAACTGCTGACAATTAGAAGGGAGTCTGTTAAAAATAATGAAAATAGTGATATGTCAAATATGGGGAAAATAGCATCCAGCAGTACTTATTCTGTGGATTGGTTTACTTATAATTGTATGTTAAGAAAGGATATCTCTCATTTGACACATTTTCATTATCCTCTTATTCATGTGCATGTTAATTGAAGCTATCTCTTATTAGTATGTTAATGTATCCGTATAAATCAGAATGAAATCGTTGGTAAATAGTACTTATGTTTTGATCCACTGTTACCAGGTGGAAGTCAGAATGAAGGATTTGTTAGTCCCCAAGGGTTTTTAGGGATAGGTAATATTTTTGATAAGAAATACTGTAGTTTTTGTAAGCGGGTCTTTTTGTCTATTCCTTTCATCTGTGAGGTTATGACCTAAGATAATGGTAACATCAGTTCGGCTTTCGCACATTCCATTTAACGACACATTTCAATCACACAAAGTTAAAGGCTACGTTGTCGAAGCATTATAACAAGAACTATACGATACTGCTGTATTTTTTATCGCTCAAGCGTTTGGCAGTCTGGTACCAGGCTCTTCTCTTTAAACTCAAGGCCATACTATTTTATTTTCCGATCGATATCTCTCAGTTTGGTAAGGCTCAGAATAAATTATATTTTAAATATTTTATATTCGTCTAGTCTTGGTGGGATTACCCCAAGGTTCAATACTGGCTGCACTACTATGTATATTACTTAAGTCTAAAATTCTCAAAAAAGTAAAAAATTTATATTTGTTGCCTATGTATATAATACATGTTTCTAGCAAACGACCGTTGTTCAATTGTTTAATTTATTTTAAATTACATTTAATTGAAAATAAACATTGTATCTATCTATATTATGAAAAAGGTATCAGGCAATAACAGGAATGAATAAGTACATTTCAGTTACGGTTGGTTGTTCAGATGAGGACTGGAGAAAAATGGTGATCTGCCCCATTCTCAAAAAGGGAAACATGTTTAGGTACCATGACTATTGAGGAATATCTCTGCTCCCCTGTGAATTTAAAATACCTTTAAATATCTCATTTACCGACTTCTCCCTATTATTAAATGGGAGGCTGATCAATACCAATGTGTATTCCGGCAGAGAAGATCTTAATGTCTAAGTATATCAGACCACCACTCCAGCCCAAATCTTCAGCCCTGAAACCAAACTGGTGAGAGGAAGGGAGTACAACACGCTCACACATCTCTTCACACATCATCTCTTCGTTGACTTCAACTCAGCATATGATAATATACACCCAAAAGAGTATTATAAAGCATTATTTGACCTGACTGTTCCTCCCAAGTTCATAATACTCATAAAGCCGAGGATGTAAAATGTTTAATGTACAGTTGAGGTACAAAGTCGGAGATCATCAGAATTCCATTTAGGAGAGGAGTAAAACAAAGGGGCGCCCCGTTATGCCTACTTTTTAACATGGCATTTGAAAAAGTAATAAGGACTTACACGTACAAACTTCAGCATTCCTTGCTTCGGTCGAAGCTAAAACCAAGTACTTGGTTTCGGATCAGGCTCCAAAATCGACTTTTTGAATTATGCCGAGTTAAAAATCCTACCAGGATTTGTACTCGTAATTATTTTTCTATTTCAAACTTCGGTTATCAGGTTGTCGGGCAACGCACGGTGCTGTGCACACGCTTTAACCCGCTCGGCTACACTGCCCTAATAGATGTATGATCTATATCAAGAGCCGGATTTATCATTTTTCATCAAGCTTGGAAGAGAGATGGGCAGGACATCTTGACAGAACTCCTGACGATCTACCTCCTAAGAAAATTTTGTTCGAACCCCATCTTAGTTGTCACAGAGTTGGAAGGCCGAAGAGCGGTGGCAGAGAGTGGTGCACATGATGCAATAACATATTTGAAGGTGCGAAACTGGATGGCAGTGAAATAGAAAAGTGACGCATGGTGTTTGCTGATGTAGGAATCCAGAATCCTTCATGGTTATAGAGCTATTGAAGAAGAAGTTTTTACTTGATACTTGAAATTTATTATACAATTAAAAAAACAACTCACTTTTCCTCTCTCCCCTCCACCCGACTAGAATTTGAAAGCTTGTTACATAATAAGGAACTCAATTATCTTTACATATCATAATCATACAAAGCTTAGTATAATCATACATCCTATTATGTTTTACTAACAACTACTAAAACCAACTTTTGATCATTAATTAGAAAATATGAGTTTAATATTTAAATCATAAACTTTTCTGTATAAAGTTAGCCATTTAAATAATTTAAGTAAGCGATTTAAGTAAGTACATTAGGCATTAAGTTAAATATTAGAGTTGTGCCTCGCTTCCCTCCAGAAAATTGAAGGACCCTTGACAGCCACTCAGCAAATAGAATTTTACGTGAGAGCTCTCCCTTGCTAACACTTCAATTTTCTAGTAATTTCATTTACATAAGATATTGCTGTCACGGAATTGGATCAGTGGACGTATTCGACGAAATTGACGTAGAATATTCCTGCGCTAAATTCCTCATATATATCTAGCCTTGAAATGACATTCCTGTAATTCTCGGATAAATAAGCTCAAATATATGTTTTTAAGAAAAATAAATTTAAAAAAAAAACTT